ATATATATATATATATATATATATATATATATATATATAATACATATAAAATGTTTCATATTAAATAATCATCTTTAAAAACATTTTATATTCATCTCTAGCAATGTAAAATTAATTTTTAATTACAATTTAATTTGTTTTTTTTAATTCTTAAAATTGAAAAAAATAAAAAGGAAATTAAACCAAGATTAAAATTAACCAATATTTATGAAAAAAAGTTTCAAATAAAAATTATTGGCCTACAAGAAAGATAGCACGGTTTTATTTCAAAGGCATTTTTAAAATTTTGAATAACTTTTGTAATGATAAAACTTTCGTTCTTAGTACATCATTTTTAATATTTAAGATTGATATTTAAGAAAAATTTTCTATATTTATTGTTATAAACACAATACGTATGTTTTAAAGGAACACGTAAAGAGGGACCATTTGAAGCAGCGTAATCACATTTGCCTGCACTGTGGCAAGTCCTTTTTCAAGAGATTCGATCTGAAGACTCATAGTAGAACGCACACGAACGAACGTCCATACGTGTGTCGTGTTTGCGGCAAAAGGTTTCATCATCAGAGTCACATCATCCGTCACGAACGTACGCATTCGGGCGAGCGGCCATATGTTTGTGACATTTGTCAAAAGACTTTTATGCAACCCAGCTCGCTAAAGGCACACAAACAGAAACACCAGCAGATTCGGATGGATTTTTTGGATTACCAGATCGACGAGGATGATCCTATCGCACTGGCAACATTATAAATACAAGAACATATGTCTGTGAGATGAATATATTGTGGTTTCATTTAATATTGAAAAAAAGACAGTGAATGTGTAACATTAGTAATAATCTTACGATTTCTATTTTATTAGCATTGTTGTGACCACATTGTTATCTTTTTAACTAAAACTGTTTTAAAGAATATGGAACAAAGTTTATATTCATTTATTTGCATCAAACTATAGAATTTATGTATCAAACAGTTAAATCAGGTGTTTAAAATTTTTGAAGATTTTACAAAGTGCCTATTATAAATTTTGTCGATAGAAAGGCCCTCAATTTGATGCAAAATCTAGCATATATGATGTCACTGGCAGAAACTGATTTGATTTGATTTGGATGCTGTTGATGCCAATATACTGAAAATTAGTAAAAAGCAAATTACATATCTTTTTGTATGTAACTGGTATTTTTTTTACTGTAAATAAAAAAAACTATAGACTTTAATGAATTCAAAAACATATAGTTCCGTTTGAAGGAACAAATTTTGAAATCTTCACACCCCCCCCACCTAGGAAAAAATCTATTCCATTACATCTTTAAATATCTTTCTAAATAGGTTCCGTGTTTTCAAATTAAAAAAAAAATCTTGAATTACTTTATATAAGTATATTCGATGGAAATTCGCAAGCTAATAGGTTTGTTCGTGTCACTTGCGCTTCACTTGCGTTCCTTCTTCCGCGCATAATCTATTTCGCTTTAGGTGCAAAGAATCCTAGGGGGTGCGAGGAACGCGAACCGCGAATAAAACCAGCGCGAGGAGAGCGTCTTCGCGGGGTTAGCAGCCCTGTCACGAGACCGGCAGGGAGGGGGAAAGGCATGCCGCCTATGAAAACGGCATAAAATGAAATAAAACCGACGGTGGATTCGGGAGGAGGAGGAGGTTCTCCAGCCGTGCGGTATTTTGGGTGGAATATCGAGACCGGATCTCCTTCAAATTGGCAGATCGATCGAACGTGAACGCCAATGGCACTATGATCGATACCGTTCGCACTTCCCGCGGCAGTCCGTGGACGTGAAACTCCCACGATCTCCACGGGTGCTGGGTGTCCCGCTGACGGCGAAGTGACGCGACGGGCCGATACTTTCGCGGTGGTAAACGAGCGTTCTAGCGATTCCTGGAGGAAGGTAAGATCAACGGGCGCCGATCTGTCCGGGTGAGCGGTAGGGGGAGGACACTCGCCGTGGACGCGCCGCGGGACGAGCGGACGAGAAGCGTCATGTTTTCTAATATTACGGCGTGACTCACGCGCGGCTCGCACGAGCGTGAGGGCCGTGTCTGACGTCCCGTGTCTCACGAGCGAGCGAGGGTGAAACGAGACGTGGTGCACCGAGGAATCTCGTCCTCCACCGTCGAATCGCCGTCTCGGGTAGAACCGCCCCCGAGATCGCGCAGGATCCCCGCGAGCGATCGCGTGATACTTGAATTTAATTGGCGATCCTAACCTCGTCGCATAATCGCGATAACTCGCTCGATCGCACGCTGTCTTTTTTTTCCTCTCTCTCTCTCTCCTC